ATTCAGTTAGGATAAGAACTTTAGAAACAGGAAACACATTCTGCTTAGATGGTTAAATTTTGAAATATAAAACAATTTAGAGCCAGTTGGGCTCATCATCTCACCATGAAGCAGTTCTGCTTACAATTAATTTAGCAAAATAGAGAGAAGGCAGTAGAAAAAAATCTTGGTTTACTAATGAATGACCTTTAAGTAATTGCTCGCGTTTCAAACAGACTGAAGTTACCATCAAAACGTATCCTTGGGCAAAGAACTTGCAGTCCCTTTGCCTAGAACTATAACTCCAACATTCCTTTTTCTCTTCTTTAGACAATCATTGCTCTTTCCTTTGGTGTTTGCAGCTTAGTTTTAGCCTTGCTGATGCACAACACGTACAGGAACTGAGGCAGTTCTCCCACAGCACCAGCCCCAATCAGTGTCATCTCCTTGTAGAGGCCCAGTCATAGTCAAGTCCTTGTAGAATGCCAGCTACTTCAAGACTTCCTATCTCATAGGAGTAGAAGAGGGTCTCACAAGGAACAAATGAAAGGCAAGTTCATATTACAAAAGAAGACTTCTGAGAAGAAGCTGAAATAATTATCAAAGATGATATTTAGCATCATTTTATTTCTACAGAAGAAAATAAGAGGAATGGGTTTAAAATCACAGCATCAGGAAATGAGAAGCTTATTAGGGCTTTCCCCTCCTAAAGAACCATTTATTAACTATCTAAAATGCATATATTTTCAGTGACTCTCTGCATCTCTCTCTCTGTCTCTCTCCCTCTCTCAGCCCCTATAATAAAAGAAGACATAGACCCCCCTCTCTACAGACAGGATGGTACAAAGTCAAAGTTGCACACATTCTCAAATGCCTTCAGGAAAATTAGATCATTGTTTATCCTCAGATCTGTCTTGGCCTCCAGAGACTTGGATTCTTGCATTGAAAAGCAAACGGTAGATCAAGTTTAGAACTTGAAGTGCTTGCCTCTACTCCAAACCCATAGGAATAAAAGGTAAAATATAAAAAGAAAAACCAGAAATAACTTTGTCAATGGAAAAACAAGATAAACATCTCCCTGGACCAAAAATAGAACAGAAATGCAAAGCAACAGGCAAAGCTAAAGCTGTAGGGCCTCTTGTCTAGAAGCAGGCAAGCTGCAGGTTTGAGTTCAGTTCTAGTGGTCAGAGGGAATCAAAATGCTTCACACAGGAAAACCGAATAGAGTCAGCCTTAAAGTTATAGCCAGGGAATGGGGTAAGGATCACTTGTTGAGAGGAGGAAAAAAACAAAAACAAAAACAAGCCAGGATGAATGGCCTGTTCCCTTGGGCTAAGTATTTATAGGAAGCTGTGAGTGTGAAGAGGCTGGAAGATAAATAGAGCCACAGGCTCATATCCAGGTACAGAGCTGAGAAGCCCATCTTCTAGGTCACCAGATCTGCCACCTCTAGGGCACAAGAGATGCAAATGCCATTAAATCCTGGTTTTGCACTGAAGGCTGAGCAAT